CCTCCCTTCCTCGCCACTTTTCTTCACATGGATGATTTAAGATTCTTCTGAGTGAAACGATATGCAAACCTTTGCCAATAACGGATGTGTTGTTACTGATCTGAGTCCACAGCTGAAGGAGTGCATGAGTATTTTGCAGGCGATCTGTATTTGATAGGTCAGTTTCAAGAACATCTACAGTAACATGAGACTGTAGCTGACTGCAGAACACAGGGATAGCTGGGTGGGTGCTTCTTGGGATAAACTGGATTAATCAAATAATCAATTCATAATGAACTGTTATGAAAAAAACACAGCCTTATAATTGGAGTATTTTTTAATCATCAACATAAAAGGGGTATGCCAGCAATTTGGTAAAGCACTTCCATAAAGTTTTGGGGATTCACATTAGACAGTTTGTTTTTTTAAATGGTCAGAATCAGTGTCTGTGATCATTCTCCAAAAATGCTTACTACTTAATACTACATTTCCCATTATAACCTTTCCCTGCCTGGTAAATGCCCACATATTTCTAGAGTTGACAGAGTAGGCTCTCTGTACAAGATTTATAGTGTCAACTCCAAACCAAGATAACTCTAATGACATCATAAACTTTAGACAGCCCCATCCAAAGCCACATACGTAAGAGCTTACACTACTATTTTTACAGGCTGAGTAGTACTAACCATGATGAGAAAACTGATCTCCATGTGTAAGATCAGTGGTGTAATTAGTAACTTGGACGTGGCGTTGCTTAAGATGTGTTCAATTTTAATGTGTAACAACTGACTCCACAGTGTCAGCCATGACAGAGCACCATAAGTCCTCATAATGTTTCTGACATTAGTGTGTAGCCATTGCTAATGTTCTATTGTTGAAAATGTTAGAAGACATAACCCCATAACAATATGTTTGTCTGTGAAATCAGCAAAAGTAATTCTTCTTGGGCTGTGAACACAACAACTTATTGACATGAGTCAAACTTTGCTTGTAACTGGTGGAAAATGAGGTGTTACAGAATAACCTCTCTAAACAGATACAGTTGCACCATTCTGATAAAGATTATGGAGGATTTCTCCACAGAAAGTCAGAATGTCTCAATCTGTCACTCTGCCCTGCATTTTCCCCTCTAGGTGCACTTCATTTCAGCACAGTGTGCTGACAAGTCCTATCAAATAACTTCCTTTGACTTCTCAAGTGCAACTGCATCTTATATCTTTGACCTTACATCTTTCCAAAAACATGTTTTTGTGTTCTTAAAGGAGTTTAAACTGGTGTGCAGGAAAGGGATGACTGAGCACGTTCTTCTTGGGCCTTTCTCTGAAAAGATTGTATTTTGTTCTGTGTCAAGAGATCCTGGTCCGCCTTTGCACCCAGTTCTCAGGAAATCTGTGGGTTTGCGTCAGCCTGTGACAACTGTTTAAGCTGGAGGAGAGCTCAGAAGAAATCTGCAGGAGAACCGCTCAGTTCTCACCATACAGTCTTCACTCCAACTTCTAATTTCCTGAGCAAATGTTACTCACCAGTCCTTGGCCACAGAGTGGGTCTGATAAAAGCTGGGGTGGGTTTGAAAATAATGTGAAAAAGCTGTGTCTAACTAGGCCACGGAAACTTTAACACCATCCACTTATGAGCCTTTACTGGAGGAATGATCATCACATGGTCCACTAAGAAAAGATTAGCTTCCTTCAGGAGGCTAACAAAGATCTCTCGCTGTGTTAATGTAGTATTTACAGTAGTCGAGTTATTCAGGATTATGCATACTGTTTACTATGTCATTCTATAATTCAATTTCATAGATAACTTTACATTGTTACCAGTATAATTAGGGCTAACATTGTATCTAATGGCATTTACATTGCAGGGTATTTTTGTAGTGGATTGCATCAGATTATACATGTGTCCTTGTGTATATTGTAATGTATATTTCAGAGTTTTAGAAATAGTGAAATAAAAGATCGAAACAATGTCAGCTGTTGGAGCTCAAAAGCATGATGGAGATCCAGGTCAAATTGCTGGGCACTTTACCTGCTTTTTATTTGACCCAGTGGACATGACTGAAGCCAACGTTTTTTAGTTTCACCTTGACTTTGAAGTAAAATATATATATTTCCTAACCATCCAGAAATAAAGGATTTACAATGAAGAAAGGTAATAGTAGTAATGTGTTATTGCTTTAAAGGTGGATTAGCAATTAACATGGGGTGAAAATGCTTTCTGACAAACTTTTATATATAAAGGCCTTTGTTGTATGTGATGTTGTATGTGATGTCTGTTTATACCACAGGCTGTTTGTTTAAAGTCATTTGGTTTCCAGTGTGCCACACCCACCTTTTATGAAACAGGCTGTTTAGGGTCATTAACATAATAACAGCATTATTCCTGAGACGCTGTTCCTATTGGCCGTCAATGCTGATGGTCCCTTCCCTTCCCTTGGGAGGTATCTGCAGACTGAAAGCATTAGACAGTTAATATCTTCTTTTTTAAATGTAACATCACACTAAGGGGCAGAAAATTATTTGTTCAAATTATATTAAATTCATCACACTATAAAAACCAGCAGAACATGGCTAACCTAATCATACCTGGGTATGACTTTAACAGAGATGGAATTAATTTAGATCAGAGTTTGCTATTTGTAAATTCACTATGCTGCAGGAAAATGATAAATGACATTATATTGTGCCATTCACAGTATTTTCTTCTATTATTGGTCCATTTCCATGATTGAAACACTTTGATGATAAGGATAAGCACTTTTAAATCTTTAAGCAAGTGAGCAGTTTCAAACCAAGTTACTGTTACTGGCTACAATCATCAGTTACCACTTTGCCAAATCAAAAATTCATGGCAAAATGCTTCAGTAAACTGAAGAGATTTCATCTAGCTCACAAAAATGTGCAAACATGTGTTTCTGTTCCTGGGCTTTATGCTAAGTTGAAAGCACCTGTAGTGATTTGTAAAGGACTACCAAATGTTTAGATATGTGATAACATTGTGATTTTAATACTGATCATTTTGCTTCAGTCAAAAAAATATTATAGCATTATGAAATCCAATTAACTGCTAACCTGTATTGCAGAATGCGTACAGGGTAATACTTTCTAATACAAAGTCTGATGCTAATGCAATGTTGAAAGTGTCTATAGGACATTATTTAAAATTAGAGGTTGTCTTAAGGCATTACTGCGATTGGTTGAGCCAGTTTCTATCCAAATGAGGAGGGTGTTTCATAATAATGGAAATGTATGCACTAAAAATTGATATATACTTGATTATTATGTAATGATGATTTTAATGTATGTGTGAATTGTGTATAACCATGGCACCTGCAAATATTAATGTTGAATATTAATCTCCTTTCAGTTTGAGTCAGAAATTGTGAAATGAGGGATACTGGAATATTTAGGTAGATATCATGTCTTGTGCAATGATAAGTCACAGCACAGGCATGATTTATAGTTATTTATTATTGTTATTTATTATTCTTTTGCTGTAAACATATACATTAGCATTAGCATGTTTATTTCTTTTGACAATTCCTGAACATTAACTGCAGTGTTTGTGTTTCCTGTAGGAACTGAAGTTTCATGTTGTTGTAGTCAGGTGTCGATTAGCAAGGCGCACACTTAATGTTAGCACTAGCTGTAGTAAGCTAACCGCTACGTGCGACTCTAGGGAATAACCCTCAAATTACTCATTTAATGCCACTGGGGTAATAACGTACATTAATTATTTAAATTTAATTAATCATCATTGTTTTATAGTCTGTCTCATTTACCAACAAAACACTGTCGTACAGAATTTAAATTAGTCCCTGTGGATGTAATGTTAAATTTTCGCCTGCTGTTACTATGGTTTTTGCCTGTTTAACAAAATACTGTGTCATCTTTGATATTCCTTAAATATCTTGTACGGGACAACGTTGTTGGTATCACTAATGTAGCCTACCTGCCAAGCTGCGCCGCATTGACGTTACTTGTCATTTTCAGGTGAAAAGTATCTGTTGAGGAGTTTCTTTTGGGCTGTTGAGCTTTATGATTTTTACCTGAAGTAACACATCAGTTCACTTCAGGACCCACCACTACTGAACTTCTCTCCAGTTGCTGAAAGGCGAGGCTGCTGTAAGTACACGACTACCCTCTGCTGGTAGTGTCCACACCAAGCAACCAGCTATCAGTCTCGAAATGCAAGCTGCAGCAGTATACCTACACCAGTTCACTGTCTGGTGTTATCATACCATTATTTGTTTATGTTTTCCATTGATTATAATTTACATTCATTAGATTGGTTGTATAATGGTTTTAAGTCAAGTAAAGTTGACCACATGGTTCTTCATTTGTAAGAATAATGTCATAGAATCAAACAAAACTCAAACTATGAAGATCTTTTCTAAACTTCACAATAGGGAAATTAATCATTGGTTTCAGTGTGACAGGTAGTATCATCAGTAGATACTAAGCCTATGATTAAGTAGGAGGTCATCTTAAGGGAGGTAAAAATAGACACAAGGGAAGCTGGATGTTGTCATATAAATATTTCACACCAGCAAGGCCTCAGGACTTGTGTGGGGTGGGGCATATGATAAAATATGGGAGTCCTGACATCACTCTTTGCTAAATGAAACATGAGTCCCCCTACCTTGATGATGTCACTGCTGTGAAATTTACTGGCAGGTGGTTTTTCCATGCACTTTATGAAGTTTAAATGAAATATGTTGTGCAGCCTATTTGACAGTATTTTTGAAAGGTCTAATTTAGCTAAGCTGTAAAAAAAAAAAAAAAAAAAAAAAAAAAAAAAAGTAGAAGTAGTTGAGTTTCATCTTATGTAATCTCAGTTTGTGTGATTTGCAGTGGATGTGGTTTCTGTCGTGGCTGCTCCTGAGTATGGTGCAACACTTTGTTTCAGCAGCCACACCTTTCCACGCCTCCTAACAAGCAGCAGTTACAGCTGAGCCAGACTTAGAGATATAAGGGAGTTGCCAGCTGCCATGGAGTAAATTATCTGTGGGACAGCACAAGTATCAGACTTCACGGAAACATGTTATGGACAATATTCTTATTTCTTAATGGACTGCTTATACTAGTTCTCCTTTACTTCACTCGCAGAAGGTAAAGCCATTTATTAATATGTTGATTTTTGCAGATATTAAATTATTAGCAAAGGTTCATTTAATACGTTGTATGAGTCTGGAGGATGGCGAAAATACCGCAAAAGCACATTTTGCAAATGTAAAAATTTATAAAAGCTTTGCTATTGTTATTTTAGTTAAATACAATTGATAATTAATGAAATCCATTAATGAAAAGTATGAGATATATTAGAATAACATTTCATTCAAATTGTGAACTTTCATAACTGATAAATTTAAACAGAGCTTTCTGTATTTAGCATTGTTTTTAAACAAAATAATACAATAAAACTAAAAACTAAAGATTGTTCTTACTTATACCGTAGTGTACGTGCTGCATGGCTTCTCAGCTACAGAAAGTATGCTTCATGTTCACACCTAACTTCTTGGTTGAGATTCATGAATGAATGAAACACAGATAAACCAACTCTATCACATTGTTAGAATTTTAATGAGTTTCCTTATATCTGTCAGACAGAAAAATGAGCCACCTCTGGACAAAGGTCTCATTCCATGGTTGGGGCACGCTCTTGAGTTTGGAAAAGATGCTGCAAAGTTTTTGGCCCGAATGAAAGAAAAACATGGAGATATCTTCACAGTAAGTTCTGATAAAGATCATCTGACTGTGGTGTTGAATTTTCATCTAAAAAAATTGCAACGTTAGAGGAAGTGAGAAGCTGCTTTGAGTATGATAAAATAACATTTGACTATCAAATAGATTAAAAATTCATACTGTGGTTTGACAGAGCAGGTCTTTTTTCTTGCATACAAGAACAACACGTCATAAGTGATCTGAAACTACAAAATATGATCTAAAATGCACTAAAACAAGGTTTTCATATAAGTGCAACAATATATTCATTTTAAAAGGACATTAGTATTCACATGAGGTGGTAACAAGTTAATTAGTCCCACATAAAACTTTAAATCTGACTATATCTGAAATATGTTCTGCAGAGGCAAGCACAACTTACTATTTTACCAATGTAGAATAAAGTGTTTCACTGAATGGGATTTCTAGCAAATAACTGACTATTCCATAGAGTTTCAAGTTAAAAGACAGAAAACTAAAGTATTTTTTAAGGAAAAGGGAACTGTAATAAGGTCTGGTTATAGAGTACAGAATATTTGAACAACTAAAATGATGTCCCTGCAGGTTCGTGTTGCTGGTCATTACGTGACTGTTCTGTTGGACCCAAACTCTTTCGATGCCATCATAAATGACACAGTGTTCTTGGACTTCACCCGCGCAAGAAACCAGCTCGTGAAAAGGATCTTCAGTCTGCAGCTGCCAAGCATCAAGCCTACAGCAGAGAGGAAATGGATGGAACGGTAATGAAAGCATCTTTTAAACTTAGATCTCTAAACAACAACAGAAAAATCAGTTTCAAGTTAATGTTGCAAATGTCAATATCTGGTTTGCTTTGTATTTCCTCAGGCATTTTCATGGTCTTCATCTGTCCAAGCTCAACAGTTCCATGAACATTCATCTTCAGAACCTGCTCCTGAGTGACCAGACAGGATTTGGCCCTTCAGAGTGGAGACAGGACGGGCTCTTTAGCCTATGTTACAGCCTGCTCTTCAGGTAACGGACAGCAAGATACAGTAAAGTACATGACATCAGCATTTATATCATTAGGAAGATTTTTTTACTTTATTTTTTTTCTCAGGGCCGGATACCTTACGTTGTTTGAGAGGAAAGACAATACTGCCACAGTCTACAAAGAGTTCCGCAAGTTTGACAATCTCCTCACCAAACTGGCTCGCTGCTCGCTTAAGCAAGGTGTGTAGCACAATAGTAAACAAAAGTCAAATGATCTCACTTTCAGTTACTTTCTTTGATTCCTTTATATCCATACAGCACAGTAAGGTATTTATGAATTTATGTTGGGTCTCAAATAGGGGAAAGGGAAACAGCCAACTCATCCCGGGAGCGACTGTGGGAGCTGCTGTCCCCAAGCTGGCCGAGCGGAGGGTCAGAGCCCGCCTCCTGGCAGCACAGCTACCATCACTTCCTGCAGGAGGAGGGGGTAGATGCAGAAATGCAGAAAAGAGCTTCACTGCTGCAGCTGTGGACCACACAGGTGAGAGCTGGTTTTTTGTCTGTCTCTTTCCCATGTGCACACAAACCACAAACACATACAAGCAAGGCCACACAATGATTCCAAAACATGCACACTCTCCACACCCAGACTGCATGCCTGAATTCCACTCCATGGTGCTCAGCCTGCCAACAATGGAGAAGGGAGTTACCTGCCTCAACCTGCAGCTCAGAGTGCAGTTTTGCCAGTTGTAATAAATGTATCAGTTTCCCTGGCCCCTTGTTCAAGGTTTAGTAATTACATGTGAATTCAGTGCGCAAGATAACTGTGTTAGTCAGCTCAAGTTGCTTCCTCTTTTTCCTGTTTTAGTCACTCAACCCTGAAAAACAGACTGTACTGTCAATCAGGTTTTCTGCTGCCAACAAAACAGCTCCACTGAACCTGGGTGAATGGATAAATAGTAATGTTCAGCACACTATATTAAAACCTATTGGATACTTTGCTTTGTCTAAATCTCTTTCCATTTTTGGTTAATCACTAAATATAATCTCACCTGTGAACAATGCCTCTTGTTCAAATATTATTTGTTCATTTAGTTTCAAGTGGCTACAGTGTACAAAGTTGCCAGTATTAGCAAGATTGACACAGGTGTGCAAACAGGATTGTTAGTCCAGACAAGTCCAGAGCAACAATGGTATCATTGCTCTGTGCTGCCAGGTGGGGGAGATAGCGAGCTGTTTTATTGTCTTAGTGTCTGCTGTTCCTTCTACGCTACATTTTAGATGCACTAGATTTATCCCTCTGTTATCCAGCTAGTCTCACTGGAACAATGATTGTTCACCCAATAATGTACAGTATTTGAGCAAGGAGAAGCCTCGACCTGGCCGCCCACAGGCTGCTCTGCTGGTTTAGGAAAGACCGTTCGTCCTCCAGCATGTTTGTTTGTGCGTTATGATGTCTGCTGGGATATATGAGCACACAGTCTCAGTCTGGGACGGAAACTGGAGCACCACTGCAGAGAATACAGGGATTAGATGTGAAGCTAGTGAGAAGTGCCAGAGTGAATATGGCTTTTACATGTGTTTCAGGCAGACTGAGGTATTGCAGAGTAAAGTACAATTGTAGGATTTCTCTAAAGCCACCTACAACCTCATCACGAGTCCTGCACCAGCTTGCGGTTTCTGTCATCTTTCTATTTGTAAACAATCAATGTTATTGATTGAAACATATGTAGACTGAAATTGATTTATTAGTCACTTTCCTTGTTGGACAAAATGGTGATTTAATGTGTTGTAGTGTAGGCACACTCTCGCCACCCCCACACATTTAATTGAATGTAATAAGAATTACTGATCATATCAAGAAATTAACTTTATGGAAAATAAATCAGGTCACTTACTTGCACATTTATTAGTGTTTAGTGAGTCTTGCATTCATAGCTTTTCCCACCATACTGCAGCTGCCAGTGAATCAACTCATACCCAGAATAAATTGTTTGACATTTTGGTAAATATGCTAACTCAAAAGTTGCAGAGAGTTACATAAGAAGAGTGACACTCGTGTTTGTACACTAAATATGTAGCCAGCAGCCAGTTAGCTTAGTTTAGCATAAAGACTGGAATCAGGGGAAACAGCTAGCCTGGCTCTGTAAAGACATAACAAAATCCACCTAACACCATGACTTAAGTTTACTAATTAGCATGCACTATTTAGTTTCTTTAAACTGAATCATAAAAACTAAACATCAGCAACTACATATTTACCCTAGTGGCATTCCAGTGGTATCAGTCTTCTCATTATCTCTCTAAGCAAATTTCCTAAAATACCAGACGATTCCTGTAAAACTCACATATCCTGCAGCGGATCACGTAACAGGACTAATATTACCTGAGGCGTCTGATCTGGTGATCTAAAGATCTGAAGAGAGCAGAAAGCCAATGTGATGCACCTCTAATCGCTTTTGGGTATTTGCCCTGGCTATCAATGGAGAGCTGACCTGAGATGTGCAGAGGTAAGAAGAACAACTCCCTTAACCCATAGCAATTACTGTCTGACAGGCTCAGGTGTCTCTCCCCAAGAGGCTGACAGCAGTGTCTACAAGGTGTGGATTGATTCACTGGCTTGTGCTCATATCAGTCATATTCAGACAGCAGCATTACAGAGAACTAAGAGGAAATGTTGGCTGAAATCTTCCAAAAAGTAAAAGGTTTATGCATTTTGTGTTCATATAAACAGAACATATATGCAGTTTTTCATGCTAGAAGATGTGAGTGCTTGCTTAGTTGGGTGTTTTTCTTTTCAGTGTAACGCTGGACCTGCTGCCTTTTGGCTTCTTGGCTTCCTGCTCACTCACCCTGAGGCCATGGAGGCTGTTAAATCAGAGATCAGATGCCTTACTCTTCAGGATACTTCCCTACAGCATCCCCCCATCAACCCGCTGGAAGCACACAGCACACCTGTGTTTGGTACGTAACAGCTGTTAGCTGCCTTTTCAGCTAGTCACTTGAGCTGCTCCACCTCCGGGTTTAGCCAGTTCAATGAGATGGAAACAAAGTCTCATTTGACTTGTTGGAAATAATAAGATAAGCACAGTGTGCTAAAACAATGACAGTGACAATAAAAGTTTGACCTTTGATTCAATTAAATAATTATTGCCTTCCTCATATCTGTGCAAATGTTTGTACATCTCCAAATTACGCCCGAGGGCACCGCTGACTTAACTCACACTGACACCCCTCTGACATCATCCACTCTGCTGTCCTTTTCTGTTCTGTAGATAGCGTCCTGAGTGAGACCCTACGACTCACCGCTGCAGTGATGATCAACAGAGAGGTGGTTCAGGATAAGATCCTGCGCATGGCCAATGGAAAGGAGTACCACCTCAGACAGGGGGACAGAGTGTGTCTGTTCCCCTTCCTCAGCCCACAAATGGACCCAGAGATACACCAAGACCCGCAGGTACTTAGTGTGTAGACCTGAAGTGTACAACACGGTCAGTGCATTAGGAGCACAAAGATAAATGCAGTACTGACGGAATAAATCCTTTGAGATAAACCGCTAAATGCCTGCAAATTAAACAACTACAGCAAGATCAATTCCCAAAGTTAATTTGGTGGTTAGATGTGATAACTGCATGTTATTTTTAACTGAGGACATGGTGCTGTACAAAAAGTCAACCTGCTTTCATGATATTACACTACTGTTATACATGTAACATGTGTTTTCATCATTTTCTCGTCTCTTCTCAACAGATCTTCAAGTATGATCGCTTCTTAAATGAAGACATTACAGTGAAGGATAAATTCTACAAGAAGGAAAAAAGACTGAAGTACTACAACCTGCCATGGGGCGCAGGGAAAAACATCTGCGTTGGGAAAGAGTTTGCTGTTACAGCCATTAAACAGTGAGTGTAAAAATCATTTTCTATGATGTATATTAAGTTTTAAAACGATGCATCTGTGATCAAAGCATTTCCTGCAATTTCGTCCCGATTACCAAAGCAGACCAGCAAAATCCATCTCCACATAATATTCCCCCTATTATCATTTCAGTCTTGCTTTCATGTCCTCTATCATCATTAGCAACAAGCTGCAATATAGTAATGGCCCATACTCTGTAATGATCAGTATGAAAGAGGCTAAGGGTAATAGAGGATAGTCAGATGGAGAGCGTCTTTCTCAGACATCATATCCAGTTACAGAGGTCAAAGGTCAATCCTTGTACTCCACAACATACAAAGGGGGGGGGGCTGGTAGGTTATTTAATATTGATGTAGAGACTTTGGGAATCAGTTATTTTTAGACATGTTGCCCCCTTTATCTAATTGGTTTATTCACTGGGATGTGTTTTTTTTTTTGTCACATACTAATTTCTGGATTTAACTAGATGTGCGCTGTAATACAAATATGACTCTCACAAGTCATGTTTATAAATGTGTGGTTTGTCGCCTCTTCTAAATTGTTTTCCCTCTTGTTTCTCTAGATTTGTGTTTTTGCTCTTGACCCATCTTGATATGGAGATGTGTGACCCGGAGGCTAAACTGCCACCAGTTAATCCCAGTCGCTACGGCTTTGGGATGCTCCAGCCGGACGGAGATCTGCAGGTTCGATACAGACTGAAGATGCCACAGCATAGAATGTTACTAATTTGATTAAGCATACAAATTGTTGATAAACCTTTTTGTAATATGTATTGTATCACTATTTATTCTATGTTGTATTTCGGAGTGCACCTATATATCATAATTAACTTTGTTGTGTTTAAGTAATATTTTTAATACAAAAAAGGAAAAATTATAATTTAATTTCACATTTCTCTTTTTGATACCATACAAATGGCCTCTGTACTTTTGGGCTACAGCTAGTTGGCTTTAGAAAAATGTGGAATACAACATGACATTGGTAACTGCAGTGTAAGGGTACTCTTGCCAAGTTTATATTAAGAAGAGGAGATGAGAAAAAATGGAAGAAGAGTTTATTCATTGTGCAAATATGTAGAGTACATATACTGTAGTACTGTAGTTAAGTACAATTGTGAGGTTCTTGTACTTATACCTGAGTATTTCCATTTCATGCTACTTTACACCTCTGCATTTTTAGAAGGAAATATTGTACTTTTTGCTTAATTTATGTATTTCAGATGAAGATTTTAAATAAAAAAATATGCAGGTTCTGTGGTTTTTAACCTTTTTGGCTTATGACCATTAACAAAAAAAGCAGGCTGTGGCCCCTTGTACAGCTTTAGATGTTTGTGAGTTGTTAGCTGTTCCATCAAGAGTGATTTCTCCCTAAAACTTCCAAGATGGTTTCATTTAAATAACTGTTCAAGCCCAAAGAGCTTAAATTATTTCACAAAAAAGAGAAGATTCAGTCCAGAGTCCAAAACATGAATACAAATTTACGTTGCAGAGCTTTTTCTTTCTCCTGCTTTCCTGTCCCACTAATCATCTCACAGCTGCCCAGATTTGTCTTGACCACTGGATACATGACACAACAAGTGGCTAAAAGTCGACCATCTACTAAAATTCCCCTTATGCACTGATACACCAATAATGCAATATATACAAATCACTCACAGGGGCCATTTTCTGCAGAATGATGAAAAGTACATTTTTCTAATGCTTTTTTTTTTAAATGCTTCTGTACATTTACATGAGTTGGATTTCGAATGCAGGCCTTCTACTTGTAATGGAGTATTTTTACATTCATGTATTGGTAGCCTACTTTTACTTAAGTAGAAGATCCTTCAACATTTCCTCCACCTGTACTTATGATGTACAGATGGTAAACCTACCCTTGTCAAATTAAGTCTACCATAAGAAGGCTACTGTCATTGATTTTCACTGACGTTGTTGGCTCTGCGCCTTCAGAGATCACACATACAGCTATTTTCATGTGCACTAACATTACATCACGCTTTTATCTAACACTGCACCCCGGCCTAAATGCAACACCACACACAAAGTCCTTAAAATGATCCAGCCAGGCGTCGAGGCGTGGTGCTGAAAGAGTTAATCAGATGTGGAAGAGAGGGCGCTGAGCTGCCATGGATCCACCTTCAGAGAGATGCGGCGCCTCCTCACACAGCTGACTGGGAACACAGGTAGTACTTGTCCGTCACGGGCGCCCGGCATACTTGTTGATCTTCGGGCGAAACAACGGGGCGATATGCGGAGCAGGAAACCGGCGGGTAGGCAGTAGATCGAGCTGGGGATCCCTCTGCCATGTCGGAGGCAGAGGAGGGGGAAATGGATTGGCTTAAGACCCTGGCAATTGTAAACCAATAACGGCGCCTCCTTTTTTTTTTTTTTTTTTTTTTAAATGCTACTGCTTCATCTCCGTTTGTGCCAGCGGATTGATTGTCCACAGAGCGGTATGTGCCGGTTTGATTCAGTGCAGGATGACAACAACTCACTACGGTATTTTTTTTAAAGCTTGTTTTGCATCTCTGGACTTTGAATCATATGTAGCCTGTGAATTGTAATAGATGATCAATGGCACGTAGGACTACTCTGCGTTAAAACTGCACCAATATGGAGCCTTTTGAGTAGCAGGAGGAATGGTTAACGATGGAGGATTTGCATTCACAATATTGCAGTTTTACATGATCAAACATCTCGCTGAGCTTATTACGATTCTCAGTTGAGCTGCGCAGAAGGGTAGGCTGCAGTGTGTAGGCTGCACAGGAGCAAATTGTGTTTGTTTTTGTGCTTAGTTTAATGCAAAATGATTTGATGAAATTGACATTTCTTTTTACCGCCTGTTTCTGCATGTCCAGAAGCCGAGATGATAGCATCCTCATGTCCTGTACGTTCTCTGTTAATGTTTCTATTTTCTATGTGCTTTGTAATGTACGTTGACAAAATGCTCCAGCCTTATTGTGTTTGCGAAGTATTGGAAACTTTGTGTGACAGTGATCAATGATCACATCTGCAGGCCTGAGGTGTTGCTGCCAGGGCTTCCACGCTCTCATCACATAAACAAAATAAAAAAGCCTGTGAAACGTGCAGCTACGTCTGCGGTCGTAAATCGTTCATAAAAATGTTTGTTCTCGTTGTCAGGGGAGGACGTAGGCTATAAGATATATATTTTCCTCCTCGAAGTCTCCCCAAGGGAGCTCGCCATGATTCAGGGAGTGAACAGCGCTTCCTGGTGTTTCAGCACCATTAGACTGGACAGCGCTTCACTTTGTACCACAGTCATCACTGTGGTGTCCTGCATCCCCACCCACAGCACTGCATGGCTGTCAAATGAGCAAAGATCAACCAAAAGGCTGGGGAGACTACTACATACACACAATTAATCAAACATCATTATATCAGGAGATCAGAGCACTTTTTTCAGTTTGTTAGTTTGTGTCTTTAAGACTAATATTTTATCATTAATAACAACATCATCAGCAACCAAGGCTGGATTCAAAACCAGGCAAAGCAGTCAACTGCCCAGGGACCCCAGGTCCCTATAGGGGCTGCAACAGCCCAATATTTACTCCATAACATTTATGTCTGCATAATTCATTTAATTGCAAATTTGTTAGAAATTTGCATCACAAAAGTACAATATAAACTACAACAGGTCCTCCATCTTGTGGCCCTGGTTTTGTAGAGGGACTCTGTCAAAATCTTGTTTTATGGCCTAAGGTGTTTTAGTTTATATTTGTTGCTCATTTTTTGTAAAGTTGCTGTTTACCAAAAGCTTAAATCTCTCTGTGTCAAGTAATAACCAAGGTAAAATCGTATTATTCCATCCTGAGAGAACTGAAGCTGCACCCAAAGATTATTTTCATTATCAACAGGTCTTAATGAGTTTGTTGTTCAGTGTATAAAATGTCAGAAAATAGTGAAACATAGTCATCATTATTCCCTGAAGCCCAAGTTAACATATTCTAATTGCTTTTGTTGTCTGAGCAACAGTCAAAAACCCAAAAATGTTGAGTTTATGGTCATAGAAGACAACCAAATATTCACATTTAAGAAGCTTTTTCTAGTGAGTTTTTTTTTTGGGGGGGGGCAAAAATCTATAGTATTAGTCACTGTTTCCAAATAGTTTTCTTGTTAACCCCATAAATAGAAACAGCCTATATGATTCTGATTCTGCAGCCCACTATCAGATGTGAGTCATCTCAAGAACCTCCATCTGAGGGGATGTTTATTGTTGGTTCGGCACATAATTAAAAAAAAGTTTCAATACCTTTCAGCCCTTTAAACCAGTTATTTTCAACTCTGGTCTTTAGGACCTGCAGTTTCAATCTGAATAGATTTTAAAGTAGTTTTGGGAAAAGTCGTGGGAAATTATTTCTCTCAGTTCCTGATTCAGCTGAAGACCGAACAATATTAAGTCAGGCTTCCATTTTTTCCCCTTGTTAATTCCTAACATGTGTGACTCATTTCAAGAGCCCCAGTCTGAATGTAGGTTTATTGTTGATTCAGGGAAGAATGAAACAACACAGGATAATACAATAAAAGATGTGATAACAGTAATAAATAGTGTAATATCCTATAATAATAATAATGATAAAAATAATACAGTTTATCTGCCCTTTATTCATCTTCCATGGAACACTTTAAGCAATGATTAATTTTGGCAGTCCCTTGCTGGTTTTCAGTCTAAGGTTATAAAGCTTGGTGGGAAATTACATTCAGTTAGATATCTTTCTGTGGTTTGTTTTGCTGATGACAAAACAACATTACATCAATCCACTTTTTTCTCATTAACCCTTAATAGGTTAGAATCATCTTAAGAATCTCAAATTGAGGGTATGTTTATTGTTAATACAGGAGAGAAATTCAAAAAAGAATTCAAAATGACACTACAGATGCTGCAATAACAGTAATTGATTTGAAATATCCTGTTCATAATATACTGTAAAGATCATTCCATCATTTTGCTACTATGGCGCCATTTAAACCATTGATTTTAAACTCTGGTCATCAAGATCCTGCACTTACTTGCTGGTCTTTAAATCTATCATCTACTCAGGGAATGGCATTAGAAACAAGGTAGGACCAGGATTGGGAAATACCAGTGGATATCAACCTTTTTGGCAAGTAGCAGTGTCCACACAACATTTTGGCTTCTTGGATTTGTTCATTTGGATTATTTTTAGAGGTTTTAAGAGGAAAGAAAAATCAAAATGGTTCTTTTTTATATCATCTTGTGACTCATCAGATGTATCTTATGGCCCTTATGGGATCCTGACCTCCAGGTTGGGAACCCCTTCAATGGGGCCCAGGCCATGAGCTATAGTATTATCACCATATTAATTCAGAATCTGATGATAGCTGTATGGACCCTGAGATTTTGGCCCATTCCTAGAAAACTAATTATATCATGTTTTTTTTTGTTGTTGTTTCTTTGATTCCTTTAGATACAGTAATGAAAGAAAACAGGACCAACTGTAGTCCATAGCCCTGGATGTTTGCCTGCTCCCACAACATAATTCATCATGGAGAAATCCTTGGCAGAGTTAAATAAAGCTGGCTCCCGCTCAACGTCATCACTGCCACCTGAACCAGTGGACATCATTCGCAGCAAGTCATGTTTCCGCAGAGTCAGGCTGAATGTTGGGGGTCTTCCACATGAAGTCTTGTGGCGAACATTAGATAGGCTACCACGAACACGTTTGGGAAAGTTAAGAGACTGCAACACCCACGAAACTCTGATGGAAGTGTGTGATGACTACAACCTTGAGGAGAACGAATACTTTTTTGACCGACATCCGGGGGCATTCACATCAATTCTGAACTTCTACCGCACGGGCAAGCTGCACATGATGGAAGAAATGTGCGCCCTGTCGTTCAGTCAAGAACTCGACTATTGGGGCATTGACGAGATCTACCTAGAGTCGTGTTGCCAGGCGAGGTACCACCAGAAAAAGGAGCAAATGAATGAGGAGCTCAAAAGAGAGGCAGACAATTTAAAAGACAGAGAGGGAGAAGAATTTGACAACACTTGCTGTGCTGAAAAACGGAAGAAACTTTGGGACCTCTTGGAAAAGCCCAGCTCGTCTGTTGCAGCAAAGGTAATTGTCACTGGAGGTTAGGTATGATAGAGATGAGTGTGTGACTGGTTGGAGCAACTAGTGCCTGCACACAGTGGCACAAAGACGCACACACAGAAACATGTAAACACATAAGCAGCATGCTTCTATTAATGGCAATGTAGGTCTCTTGGTCTGTCATTCAGTTGGTCCAACATTTTGGCCAAGACATAAATAACTCAACAAATATTGGATGGATTGCCATGAAATTTTCATTGTGCCAACCAAATGACATTGGTGATGCCCTGACGTTTCATTTAGCACCACCTTGATGCTGACATCTATGGTTTTGAGTGAAATATCTTGAAACCTATTAAATGGATTGGCATGAAAATTGGTATTGACCTTTATAGGCCCTTTAGGACAAATTGTGATCACATTGATACCTTACCTTTTCCTCTAGCGCCACCCTCAGGTCAAAATCTAAATTTGTCCAATACACAGGTTTATGACCAAATACCTGCAAACTTTAATGACTTCCCATCAGCCTCAGCTGTACTTTGTATTTAGTGCTAAGTACCACACACGTTACGATGCTAACATGCAAAACTAAGATGGTGAGTATGGTAAACATTATACTTACTCACATCAGCATGTTAGCACTTTCATTGTGAGCATGGTAGCATGCTGATATTAGCATTTAGCTCAAAGATCTGTTGTAGTCTCTTCAAATAATATAACGTGATGATGTCCCATGTAGTTATCAGACTATTATCTTACTATCTTTATCGATATGGCTAACATAAAGATGCCTGTCTACAAGTGTTCTGTGTGAGTAACATAGGCTAATGAATATAATTACCATTTCTTTCACCAGAAAACAAAAGAGAAAAATAAGTTTTGCACCAGTGAAAACTAGTCAGACTTTTTAAAGGACATTTACGGTTGCACAAAATGGGTAAATCAGGACACAGCTGTGTGTTTTTCTTTGCTGTTTACTTATGTTTTGAATGTTCCAGGGATGGAACACGAAGTAAAAGCTGGAAATGATTGAAAAATCCAGCGGATGTGATTTATCAGTCTGGGATGTGTGGGCTATTATCTGCTATTAATATTACTCAAGAACCAGAGAAAAAGTCTTACCAGACAGCTCTGTGCATACGTCTCAATTTACCATAACATGAGTCGAGGTTTATAATCTGTATCCTTTGTTATGGTCTTATTATCAGACTTGTTGCAAAAGTTCAATGCTATATCATCAGTTTCCTTTTGAAAATATGTGTAGCTTCAAACATTTTGGTGTTCAAATGTACACGAACATGTGCATGCTTACACTTTGTCACACTCCACATGCACCATTAAATCACTGCAATATCTCTTGCCTGCCCTCGCTTACAACATGAAATACATATTTGACTCTTGAAGTAATTTCTCTGAAATATTACTTGAATTCTGTCAGTTGTTTATTTGTGTCAACCCCACCCTAAGCCTGAGCCAATTGAATTTGAGATATTCTGCGGAAGGCTGAGATATTGAATAACATTTTTGTGCAGATAGAGAAAAAGTCAGAAATGATTTAGGATTGTTTGAATCATTTGGATAAATCAGTGCTTGGAGGGGGGGGGGGGGGGATCAATAGAAGCTGGCTGTGACATGTCATGACTGTACATATTTAAATGAACAAGTAGAATAGAAGATAAATATAGAAACACAGTTACATGTGGTGTCTAGCTCATGAGTAAGTCAGTTATTAGTAAGAAAGCAGTCAGGCCATACTGCTCAAGCAAATTATTAAAGAAGAATTTAGTAAAAAAGAAAGATGAGAGCAGCTGCTAGGATTCAAAACCTATGCGGTTGTGTGTTAACATTATGCATATTTGGCTGAATGAGCGTTTTGTTTGTAACAGCCAAGCACAGAATGCCCCTGGTCATAATTAGATGTTAAGGTCCTCACTCTGCTGCACATTATTTCCTTATCTGAAGGCCACATTTGCTGACTTCTATTAGCTGTGCTCACCTTTAGTCAGTGCACAAAGACAGCATTGGCCCTCAGCAGGCCTTTCAGAGAGCCACACCTGCAACTGCAACCTGGGAGACCACAGCAGTGTTAAACATGAGCAGCCTTTGATCACACTAGTGTTGGTTGAATCGGAGGGATCAAAGGGGAAGCTGTCTTTTTCCAACACTGTTTTAAAAGCAGCACCATGCCTCTTTTTTTCTTTTTGGCTTGCAGCAATCAGGAATAGGAAATGGAAATTAAACTATTAGCAGTTTGTGCTGGCTGATGCTGTTACGATGAAGATTTGTGAGAACTGTCAGCGCAGCTCCACAAACAGACTGAGTGCTGTGAGTCTGTCAGGGAAATGTCTTCTTCATAGGAATCAAAGAGACGTAGAATCAATGTTTATTGTGTTAGAGCTAAGAAAGTGCTGTAGCCTACAAAAAGGAGATGACCACTCTGAGTCGACCATACGTTGTTGTGTCCATTATCACACCCTGATATCTGCAATTTATCAAAATATCACTGGAGAGCAGTTTTGAAGTGCTTAACCAAGATGGGTACTTCTCACTTTGAATAATGACACAGCAAAGTGCTTGTACATGTTGTTTCCTGCAAATCTATAGCTCTCAATAGCCACTCACTGATGAGTGTGCACAATGATTACCATCAAAAACAGCGTTCATCATATCGTCCTTTGGCATCAGTATAAGTCCATAGCAAAAGATGGCGTGCCGGAAGAAAAGAGCAAACTCGACACAGTAAGCAGCAAAGTTTATCAGTTCCTAATTAGCTTGAAAGGGCACTGTGAAACCACAGACCAAACTACTAAAAACATTGATAGTGGGGGGCAGGGGGGTGGGGTATTGTCTTAGTCATTTTTTAATAGGCTGGAACAAACTGTGGTCTTGTGGAGTGGTCCACAGACCACAGACTGTCCTAGTGTTAGCTAATCACCTGTGCTCTCCTATCCTGGGTCAGAGATGGAAATGTATGTGTAACAGCCCATAAACAGATGGTGAATGGTAGAGACAAGCGCTAAACAAATGGTTACCGAGCAACAACAGTACAATTTTATCATCATTGAAAAGGAGAGGGTACTGAACCTGAACATTAGTAGGTTTGTTTGTCTCTCTCTCTCTCTCTATGTGTGTGTGTGTGTGTGTGTGTGTGTGTGGGTGGGTGTGGGTGGGTGTCTGTGTGTGTGTGTGTGTGTGTGTGTGGGGGGGGGGGGGGGGGGGGGGGGGGTGCGTGCATGCATTTCTGCTTAGTTCCTGTATTTTAATGGCTGTACAGAGTATCACAAGAAAGTGATTAATAGCTGCAATATTTGTCAAGATTTTCAGGGATTTTCAGTCATTGTTGCTGCCTGTGTTCTTTCTGCCCTGTCGTCCTTCCTGTCTCTCTATCCCCTCACTGGCTCATATCTCTGCTTCCTTCCTCCCCTACTTCAGGCTCCTCCGCTATACCTCCGACTAAATGTCAGGGAAATGTCACATTAATTATTCTCCAGGAGACTTTGGGCCCAATTTGAAGCTTCCCTCTCTCTGTTTATGTTCTTTGTAAGCCATGGCATTGTCTGTCTTTCTCTGTCTCAAATCAGATTTGAGTCACCATAAAATAGGATTGTGTCTGACCGTTGGCAAAGCAGTGCCTAACCGTCAGATTACTGCCAATAAAAGGCTTTCCACCTGCAGGAGCATTTATGTAGCATCATATTAGATTTGGCTGGTTTCTGTCATTAATAATACCTGCTATAAGAACTAGAATTAAGAGGCTGAGAATTTAACCTAACAAGCTAATTTCAGGGGCATTGGTGAAAATATTTGCCGCTGCCCTGACATCCATCACTGAAGGACTCAAATACACCTAACCTGACTGTAAATATTCACATTTGAGATAGTTTTTCATGAACATTTTTAAGATTGTGCTCGATGGTTAGTGGACAAATGGAATCGAGTATCAACATTGGTTTGGCTTGGAAACCAGAGCCAAACATGAATGTTGCTGTCATTCTTGTCCTCCATGCATCTGAAAATGGATTATGACCACTTCATTCTCTGTCATTGGGTATTGTGCTTCACATGGCAGGCAACAAATTCCAATTATGCTCCTCTCATGTCACACTTAAGATGACATATAAACGTAGTTTGGCTATAGTCCTACTCATAAATCAGTCTGCAGCAGAATCCAAGACGTGAAGCTACCAGACTAGAATCCATCACTATTTCTGACAGGTGGAGAGTCACAGCCAGTCAAATGGATGCTGATGTATAGGAAGTAATATGAGAACAAGACTAGAATGCTGTGTCTGAGTTGGGGCTCGATTATTCAGAGTCTGCTTTTCTAGACTGAATATCTCCTGACAGACTAGTGACATGTGTCCCGTATTAAAGGGCACTAATGTCTGTAGCTTTCCTTTGTACAAATTTGCCCAAATCCCACAAACCATTGTGCAGGGTCTGGATCATTGAGGCAGTCTTCATTAACTTTTTTTTAATCTCTGGAAGGTTAGAAAGAGGCACAGGTTCAGTCTGGCCTTGGTATTGTTTTGAATAGCTTTTAGACAGATTTTACAGAAGGCAGACCTTGTCAAGGTCAATGCCAATGATCCTCTCTTCACAGCAAGTCTTCGTTTTAGATTTCAGTGCTGCTTTTAACACAGTTTATCAAACTGATTTTCCACACCATTTAAAAACTTGGGCAGATCTTAAAGATATAGCTAAATATTAAACCTTTTAGGTTCTCATGAAAGAACTGTTGTAACTTTTGTTTTAACTGTTGTAATAGCTAATTCCTGTTGCTGGTAGTAAGTTTTTGGTGCCCCCCAAGGGTCCATTTTTGGCACACTTTTAGTTTACATGCTTCCCCTCAGTCCGGTGACACAAAGCCATGGTGTTCCGTTGTTATGTGGGTGACACACAGCTATGTACTATATGTTACACACTATACAACAGTCCTAGCAGTGTAACTAATTCTTCACACCATCCTTGTTGACATTGAATATTAGATGTCGCAAAACTTTTTAAAACTTGATGATGAC